ACCTGTGTCTTTCCTTTAATTAAATCTGGGGCATCTCTTTCCCTGTGTTTACCCTGTTCTGCCCTTGGGATTACTACTGACTCCCGGGGAGTGGTCTGAGCAATCTCCAGAAATGCTTCCATCAGCTGACCCCAGCATCAGCCCTAACACTGTTCTCATTTCCCAAGGTGATATCCTATCCACACCTTCCCATTCATACACCGATCTCTGCTAAGGAATGGGGAAACTATTAGCACCACCTGTTTGCTCTTGTGGAACCTGCATAATAAAAAATCTTAATAAAATTAGAGAGAGAGAGAGAGAGAGAGAGAGATAGCAGGGAATAGTTCAGGCAGTCACTAAGAGTTAAAAATGGACTTGAAGGCACCAACTCCTCCTCCTCTTCCTCCTCCTCCACTATGTGGGAAGCTGAATGTAACAGCTGGATGTTTTTTCTGATTTGCACAGGAGTAATTCAGGTCACAGGAGAAGTGGAAGAGCTGGTTCAGTTTTTTAACTTACCAGCAGAACCATATCCACCAAGAGGGAACAACGGCACAGAGCAGCTACTGCTCTTCCCTAATTTCTCCTAGCCTCGCTTTCAAAGCCGCAAGAGTTTTTGCTTGTGCCACAGAATCCACCGGTAGTGTTTGCTTTATTATTGTTACTGTTGTTATTTTCATTCCCATTCTCAAAGTACATTTAGAGGATGTGGGACACCAATATACTGAAGCGTTGCTATAGCAACACACACTTTTTAAAGACGTCAGCAGGACCAATTTGCATTGCTGGATTCTGGGGCTGATGGGGGGAAAACTTCAGTCCTTTTGTTCTGAACAAGGAGGGAGGGCTCAATCTTTAGCAGGATTGTGGGTGGCAAAGCGAAGATATTTATAGGAATCCGCTCCCGCCCACCCTTCAGCAGTATTTGTCACTGAACGCCCGCCCGCCCGCCTTCCTCTGCGCTCCTTTGCAAAACCTTTAATTTGCTGGTAGCAGTAAAAGCTGTTAAGGGAAAGCAGTGGAATGCTCACCCTGGATTTGCTGAAGGAGCGTGGGCATTTTAAAATGAGAATGAATAACGAGCCCACATGCATTCGTTGCCCCAGAAGCACGAGGGCATCCAGTTTAGATAGCCTCATTAAGGAGGGAGGGGGGCGCCCAAGAGCGGCTACGTTTGACAGCCATCCAGCAGCTTGCAGTTCCCAAGGAGCAGCAGCGACAGGAACACACTCCGCTCTTTGGGGGGTTATGCAGGGGCTCTGGGGGGACCAGGACCAGGAAGGTCCCATCGCACAAGCTGGAGGAGGCTGGCCAGGCAGAGCAACACAGGGACCGCTGCCCGGCCTGAACAACCCACCAGGCGCACGGGCACCCCTGCCCAGCCTCTAGCACTCATGCAGAGAATTCTCTCTCCTTCCTTGGCAGGGGGGTTAGGATCTCAAGAGATTTCACAAGCCCCTCTTATTGGAAAGGAAGGAGACCTGCCGTACATGATGCATTTCTGAATTTTCCACTTGCTTCTCAGTTCAAAGCACGCATGCACCCTCCCTCACCCAATTGCCCGGCGGGTCTGTCCAGCGTGTGGGGAAATCATTCTCTCCCCCCCCCCCTTTGCCTTTGGATCCCCCCCCCCCGGTGCTCCTCCAGTGCTAGTCTCTACTCTCCGACTAGTGAGATATCCTATCCCCCTGCTTGCCACCTTCTCTAGCCCTCTTCTTCTTCCTTGACCAGCCCATTCATCCCTCCTGCTTTCCTCCTCCTCCTCCATCCCTCCTTCCTTTGGGCTGGGCTGCACCCCCAACCAGCCGAACCATCCCCTCCTTTCCTTCACGCCTAAAAACAGATCACCTGCCGGCGCTGCTTGAGGGTCGTTTGGCTGGCAAAGGCTGAGAGCTGGGGAGGCATCGGGGGGGTGGGGGCTGCAGAAGCGGAGGATGGGCTTCCATCCTTGGGAGGGCGGAGGGGGT